TTTTATGTATGTTACCGCATAACCACGTTTGGACCACGTAACCTGATTTCCATAATGAAATGAAAGCTGGTAGATCACAGGTGGTCCCATGCTAATTTCGTTTATATCCGATAGTTGGATCATGAAGAAGTTAACGTTAATCTCACAATTGTGTATCAGAATTGAAGCCGGGTTTGTTTTTTGCTTAAAAACTANTTTTTTTTTTATGTATGCTACCGCATAACCACGTTTGGACCACGTAACCTGATTTCCATAATGAAATGAAAGCTGGTAGGTCACAGGTGGTCCCATGCTAATTTCGTTTATATCCGATAGTTGGATCATGAAGAAGTTAACGTTAATCTCACAATTGTGTATCAGAATTGAAGCCGGGTTTGTTTTTTGCTTAAAAACTACTTGTTTTTTAAAGTAATGCCACTTTGGAAATATAAAATGAAACAAATAATCAAATGGCATTTAAATTATGGTAATGTCGCGACGTCGTTACATACAGTGTACGGGATCTTGAGCTGAAAGAAATCGAAATCAAAATACGAGATTGTATTTAATCATATAAATATTTAGGTGTGTACATTGTACGTACATGTACATATACATACATATCGCTAGCTTAAAGTGAAAAGTTGCTAAGTCCATTTTTGTGAAAACTCATATTTTGACATAGGAAGCAAAGGATATTAAAAGTGCATTCTTTCGAAGAGAATTAAGGTGCTTGTTTTATTTTTCCTCGCTTGTTTTCAATGAAAAGAAAATTTGCTAAGTCCAAAAGAGGCACTGAAAATCGGATAAGGCAAAAATAATACGAAATCTTTTAATACAGAGCGAATACTTCTGTTTTGTATGGCTATACAAATTTTTTTTCCTCTCCTGTAAAATTAAAAAAAAAAAATGGACTTGGCAACTTTTCACTCTAAGCTAACGATATGTACTTGCCGACAATTTACTTGCACATCTTTTTGGCAATGAAATTGGCATTATACATAGAAGTAAATAAAAAGACTATTCAACCAACTGTGATTGCATGTTGGCGGATACTTCACAAATACACAAAATTGCTGCCAGATACTTTTCAAGTGGATACAAATTGTATCGAAAAAGTAGGTTGAAAAATCTTCACAATGTTACATCCACTCACGCCCTTACTAAGCACTTGTCTTCTTCAAAACGTTGCCAGTACTCGAGTGCGGCAGCTGTGAACGAGCTGCGAGTTGAAATGGCGGTAGGAGGCAGAGACCATTCTCATAAACCTACACATTTGCAAGTTAGTGCATTTGTACTATACATATGTACATATGTATCTTGATGCTGTACATATATCTAAAATAACAATATTTCGATAAAAAAAATTATGGCAGCTATACTTTTATTGCACTAACACCCGCTGGTCATGCCATCCGTGAATAGCACAAATGTTTTAAGTGGTATGCGAAAAAACTATAAAGTGAAGCTTTTAAAAAGGGGAGATAAAGGAAAAATTTCGCCAAATTCGCTTATAGTCGTAGATAATATAAATATCAATTTAGCAGAGAAATGTAATTCGCAATATTTTTCTGTTCAAAAACTAATAAAACCAGACCAGGAACCTTAATCAACGCATTTGTGGATAATTGAAAAGTTCCAGCCTGAAAATTAAACGTCAGAAACGCAAATATTAGACCGACCAATGATACTTTTTTAAGTTTATCAACATTTGGAAAATGTTGTTTGTTTTCATATTGTGCTATTGTTTTTTACTTCAATATATTAAATATATTCATACATACATGTGTATGTATGTATTTAAAAACATCCTTGAACATCCTTGTACGGTTATGCAATGCAGTAAATTACTGTTGGAAATAAGTAACGAACGTCTCGCCAAATAAATATGGTTTCCTCAGCTCATATTTCTTTCGTGCAAATTGTGTAAGGATGCGTAAGTAAACGACAGGGCACCTGGCTTTAAGCATAAAAGGTTAGGCCTGAAGTTTCAGGGGTTGCCAAGAAAAGCACATACTGAAATAAGTAAGCAAATTTTTTATTGGTTTGTGATAAGTAAATTTTAATAATTCACGACCCTTTTGATTTTTAAAGCAGGTTCGAAAACTTATTTTATGAGCCTATACGAAGTTTACCATGTAAACAAATGTCCGCTCCTATGATGACGAAGTGAATCTTTGCATGCACATATAGGAATGCATACGCTTGCACACTCGATATTAAATTGACTTTTAAAAGCACTTCAACTTAAATCGGTTTTGAGTGCTTTTCCTCCCAACGACCTTGTCGGCCATGGCGGCATTCAGCATTTTTCATCAATATTTCTCATTTGATTATTTTTCTTTTTTTAAACTTGTAATTACAAATCAAACACCAATCTCGAATCGAACAAAAATATATACACATACACTCATGCATATACATATACATACATAAATACATACATATGAAATCTCTTGAAGTTTTTACTGTTAATAACGGTGTGCATATAAACATATAGGTATATGTATGTACATGTGTATGTATGAACGGTTATATGGAATGCAATATTGGAATGTGATGGATAAATACTCAATCGCAGGGAGAGTGCCCAGCAAAAAATCGGTAATCGCTTTTAGTGATAAAGTGTTCTACAACGCATTGCCTTATAATGGCCTCTAATTTTTTCGCTTCTTCTAGGTATTGCCGGTAATGCACAGTAGAATGTTCTACAATATTTTATTAATTTCGCTCACTGGTTCTTTGCAAAAGTTAATTTTATTTTTTGCCAAAAGTAAATTTTATTTATAACCGAAATACCACACATCGTACAGTGAGCTGTAAGCTACCAAAACTGGAGATAAATTATTAATTTATTCATAAATATGTACTTCATGTTCTCAAGCTGATCGCTGTGGTGTAGTGGTAAGCAGTGCGCGCTTCCACTCCGCAGCGCCTGGGTTCAAGCCCTGATCCAAGCACCATCGCATACAAAAGAATAGAAACAATGTTTTTTATTAACAGCGGTCGTCTTTCGGCAGGCAATGGCAAACCTCCGAGTGCATTTCCGCCACGAAAAACAACTTTTCGTAAAAATACAATCGCTGTTCGGAGTCGGCGTAAAATTGTAGGTCCCTCCCCTTTGTGTGACAACAGCAAGGCGCACGCCACAAAAGGGAGGAGAAGCTCGGCCAAACACTAATATATCGGTAAACGCCATCCTACTATTATTATAATCATGGATGAAATATTTATATGTGAAGTGTTGGAAAATACGTCGCCATTGCACAAAAAAAATTCTATTCGTGAAAATATTCCAGGACGATTTGATGGCGACTGGAAACAGCTACTAGTTTTAATTATTTTATTAGGTATATGCCAACTGTGTTGATTGTTGCTGACGTCTCGCATTTGCCAATTTGAGTTCCCGAACCACAACTTGGACTTTTGAAAAATCTGCCCAAAATAATGTTCACATTTTTCTTGAATATCCGTTTCATTCAAAGAAACTAAAAGCGTCGTCGTGCAATTTTTTTACCATGCGTTCGTATGATAAATAGATCAGACAATTAAAAGCGCAAGTCATTCCACGAAGTATAACAGATGATAAGTGCGACTTTCCCTAATTGAAATTTTGGAAGGACTATCTAAGAAAATATCTAACTTTAGCGATTTTAGAAACGTTTTCGTTTTACTTTCCTGAAAAAAATCCAGAACTTTCTAAATTTTATCCAAAAGGCTTTTTTTTTTTTGAACGAAATTTAAAAGGTCATACATTAAAGATCGAAGAAAAGGAAAAGAAAATTTTTCTCTCCCTCAAACTACTTATTTTCTCAAAGCAGTTGGAGACCTACAAGGCGTGATCGATATTACGCACATCGGTCAAAGTATACTCTAAACTCATGCGGTGTTTTCTGTTGCAAGTACCTTGAATGACTATGATACAGAATTCGTATGCGTAGCTTTGAACCGGGAAAAGTCAAGTTTTAATTTTCCTAATTTGATTAGGAAAGGGCAACTTCAAGGCAAGGCGCCAGACGTTAGGGTAAAAACATTGTGGAGCGGCGAGCAGAGATCACCGAACAAAGCTCGATTTCAAACGTATAAATATGTTTCAATGGGAGTGTGCATTGTGAAGGGCATAGTAATTGAAGCTTTGCTCGATGGTAGCTCCTCGCTTTGCTCGCCGCTTCACTATGATTTTACCCTTAGAAGTATTTGCTTTATTATTATATACACAAATATGCACATACGCGCCATGTGCAATTTTAGCCGTGCAAATTTTTTTACACATTTCACGCATTTCAATGTACATACAAATGTACCCAAAAGACGAAGCTATGGCACACATTTGAATTTGCCTTCATATACGAGGAAAGGGTTGGCAAAAAGTTTGAAAATTAAGAATTTAGGGGGAACAAAGCTTTTTTAACAATATACTAAAAATTGTGAACGCTTGGCTGAAAAAGTTAACAAAATTCGTAAATTTAAGCCACCAATTCATTTTCACCTTGATGACATTTTCACAAAGCGATGCCAACATTCTGGATAGGTTAGGTGTAATGCAAGCAAGAAACATGAAAATAAATGCAAATACTTATGTATATACATTTGTATGTATGTATGTACGTATGTAGGCGATTGAAGAAAAAATGAAATTCCAATTTTCGCTTCATCACTTCTGAAATTTCTTTCACTGTTTTAAAAACTAAATTAATTAAGCCTTCATTGCAATCATTTTACATAGATATCCTACGATAGCTATTTCACTATCTACATTTTAAATATATTGATTTCTTTTTGCAGATTCTTCCTTGGCTGCGCCAACAGAGGCAACAACAATATTGTCAATGGAACCAAAAGACATTGCAGCGATGAAGACAGTGCCGTTTTTAAGTGCATCAACGGACAATGTGTCGGTGGCAAAAAATAAAACAACGAACAGCATAACGACAAGATCTACGACGGCCGTGACACCANTCTACGATGGCTACTTCACTATCTACATTTTAAATATATTGATTTCTTTTTGCAGATTCTTCCTTGGCTGCGCCAACAGAGGCAACAACAATATTGTCAATGGAACCAGAAGACATTGCAGCGATGAAGACAGTGCCGTTTTTAAGTGCATCAACGGACAATGTGTCGGTGGCAAAAGCTCTCCATGATAAAACAACGAACAGCATAACGACAAGAACTACGACGGCCGTGACACCAAAAATAGTGTCTTCAGCACCACCTGTATTATCATTAATTTCATCCACAACATCAACAAATATCCCCGACACCACTACCGTTGTCGACACAACGATATCTTCACCTTCTGTTCATGCGCCGTCACATCCGCACTCACCACTATCACTAACACCAACGCCGCAGACAACATCGAATTCCTTGTCCACTTTCACAGTAACAACAATATTTCCATCAGGTGATTTACCCAGAGAGTTATTCACAATAGAGGCCGTCATAGCGACAACAACAGCAGATAACAATGCCGAAAGCGCAAGTGTTGCTTTGCAACGCCCACCCCCCTCCGATGTACTTTTAAAAGGTTTTTCAATACCAACGTTTTTACCGCCCTTTCCGGCATTTGCCATGGCCGACCTTCCATCCTATACAATGACACCTACTTCGGCACCAGCAGCTGAGCTAGCGGACTCACAAAATCAATTGTATTTAGCCGCCTATCAGCAAAATGCGCCCCGACACAACTTATCGATGCCAGCGGTGAATATTACCGTTCAAATGGGGAATCACGCTTACCTACCTTGCAAAGTAAGTATCATAAATGTACACATAAATATATACAGGGATAGGTACTCGAAGTGTTACCAATTAAAAATGCTATAAGTTTGTCTATTTTGATTTNTATGTATGTATATACAGGGGTAGGCACTCGAAGTGTTACCAATTAAAAATGCTATAAGTTTGTCTATTTTGATTTTTTTTTTATTAATGTGTATTACTTAATAGCAGTGAATCTGTGCGGGAATGCTTCACAGAATGCACGAATGTGGTCTGGTGGTATATTGTCCCAGTGGCGGGGAAGAGCAATCTTCAAGGTGTTGATTGTCTAATATATTTTAGCTAATTCGTTGGCCTTGAGAATGGATCATATGGGTTTAAGTCCGGTAAGAAGAAAACATTGCGAAGAAAACTTTAAACGACGGTGACGAGTCTTATTGAAATGTCCAAAGATTGATACCGAATTTTTTTCGTGACCAAGTTAACAAAGCATCGTTTAAAATCTTTTCTGGGTAGATTTGTTTATTTACCTTCACGCCCTGTTCAATGCAAAACTCCACTACACGACATTCGTGCAACATGTGAAACATTTCCGGACAGACTCGCCGCTTTTATCCGCGCTAAAGATGGCTACATCGAACAGTAATACATTTTTTGTAAACTCTGACTAGTTAAAAAAAAATCAAAATAGACAAAAATGTAGCATTTTTAATTAGTAACACTTCGAGTACGTACCGCTGTATATATGTAAGTATTTCCTTCTTGCATGCATATAAACCTTTTTCGTGCGATATGTACATAAATAAGTATATGCATATGCAGGGGCGCACCCAAGAATATATTTTGGGAGGGGTTTTTACTTCTAAAGATATATCACCAGAAAATACTGAAAATTCGCTTTATGCAAATTTTATGTACAGTATGTAATAATTAAAATTAACTTTTTAAAGTTTCATAGATTGCACTTTATTTGCATAAAATTAAATATTCATTTTTTATTATTTCAAATACGGAAAAAATTAACTGAACTTGTATTTTTATTATGTATGTATGTAGCTCATTTTGGTGGAACGAATTCGAAGTTGGCAAATTAAATCTTCGAATCCTTGTTAAGTTCATATCAGTGGTAAACTCTTTTAGGCTGTAAAGTGTAAAACACAACATTAATAGAGTATGCATTGCATATTTTTAGGACAATGTTTTCATTCTATCAAAATTTCTTAAATCAGTTTGCAGCTTTCAAGAAAAAAATTCTCGTTTATTTATTTCTTCTAGAAAATTTACTGCAAAAGCAAAGTGCTTGTTCTAGCAACAGAATAATAAAAAATATTTCTTGTGATTTTTCTCGAGAGCTGGATTCTAAGCTTTAAGGTATTTGCGGTTTTAGCTTTAGGGGGGTTTGAACCCCAAAACCCACCCCTTGTGTGCGCTAATGTGCATATGCACATGTGCATACTAGAAAATGTTACACCGAAATACGTAGTAGCTTAAAGGGTGGTCCATATAGTGTTTTTTAGTCAGAAAGTCAGTATAATAACTCCGCAGAAGGATAAGAACCGCTTTACACTTGAATGGCGTTGGAAAATATTGGAAAGGAAATGTACAAAAAATCATGACTATGTTAGCAAGCAAAACTGCTGCACGTGATTTTCGAAAAGCCAATGCAATGCATTGAATGCATCATCAGAGAGTTGCACTTCGGTGCCAATTTTGCCGCGTTGGCATCACTGGCCCATTTTTCTTTGAAAATACTGCTGGAAATGCCATTTTGGTCAACGATGAGCGCTACAGACGCATGATAAACAGTTAAACGATTTTTAGTTTCAGCAGGATGGCGCGCCATGCCAGGGCTATCCCTACCACAAGCGATTTTTTGAACGCCAAGTTCGGTAATCGTGTTACCAGCTGTAACGGCGATGCCATTTGCCACCTCGGAGCTGCAATTTGACGCTGTTAGACTTTCTTGTTGGGTGCTGTGAAGGACCGATATCATGCGAACAATTCCTGCCCTATTCGGGCTGTTAAAACGAATATGGAGCAAGCCATTCGTGAGGTAGAGCTAGAAATTGTCACCAAGATCTAGGAAAACTGGGATAGCAGCATGCGCTACTGCGAAGGCAGTCGAGGCCACATTAATAAAATCCTGTTCCATAAATAATGGGAATGTTTTCTAATTAGAATAAACCAATAACATACCGAAGAAAAATTACTTTCCAAAATTTTTTTGCATGTTTAAAAAGGAACCACTTACTATATGGACCACGCTTTACATACAAACATATAAACATTAAACAACTGCCATTCGGGGAAGATTACTGAGTTATAGGTGTATCGATTTACCTTTTAGTTTTAATGAAAAATTAGACATAACAAAGTTAACTATATTCCGAGATGTTTTCCCATGGGCTGTGAGAAAAACTTTGAAAACAAAGCATGACCTTCCATGGTTAAAGAATTCGTTGTTGAGTTCAATTTTTGTTAAGAGATGTGACAATTTTTTAGTATTTTGCAGATTTGAAAGCAAACTATTAATATTTACATAATGCTTAGGCTTTGTAGCTTTTGCCCATTTCGCTAAGGTATAAAGCTCAATAATCTTGTTGAAATATTTACATAACTTTGCTTCTTATAAAATTAGAAATAATGATTTAAAAACCACCTTTTCTAAATAGGCGAATCGCCGCCCATTTGCTATACTTCTAAGACCGCCAGAGCTCAAAAAAATTCAGGAGACGCATTTAAAATTTAAAATTTTCCACAAAGTGCAGACAATGCAGTGAACGTAGTGTAGAGACTAAATCACTAAATCATCACTCAATTTATAATGAAGTACTTGAGGTTCTGCTTCGATATCGTTTCACTAAGCTTGCTTTAGAATTTAAACCAGCTCAGCAAATATTGGGCTTCATATTTGCTAACTAGGTCTACGTGACATGCTAAATTCGCTCGATGGACCGATGAAACCTAAACTCAACTCTGCAACTGATATCGAAAAAGATTTATTTCCGCAAATGTTGCACATTATCATTTCGATAATTTTTATTAAATAAATACTTATCACAAGTGAGAGGACGACAATTATAAACATTTCACATATCGCTCCTTTTTAACAAATATGTTCTTTTATTTCTGATTATTCTTGCTACAGACGCGATCCATACCTTAAACTTTTGGAACTAATTACGAAATTTACATACTTTCCAGCCATTAATGGCATTCCACCCCCGCTTACCAATGAGGGGAGTTTGGGGCTTATGGCTGCTCTCCCCTTAAATTAAACATGCTTGGGGGATTGACATTGTCTCATACATTATAAGTCGATAGAAAAAATCTTAAAAAATTACATACATACATAAGTGGTGAACACCACTCCAAAACTACATACATACATATGCATATAAATATGTTTGTTATGCCGTTAATACGCACCGAAATACACAAAATTCAAAGTNGTTAAACTTGCTTGGGGGATTCACATAGTCTCATACATTATAAGTCGATAGAAAAAATATTAAAAAATTACATACATAAGTGGTGAACACCACTCCAAATCTACATACATATGCATATACATATGTTTGTTATGCCGTTAATACGCACCGAAATACACAAAATTCAAAGTTTCGTTAGAATATTTTAACTTTTTTTTATTATTTTTCTCTTGATTATTGTCACCCTTATTGCGTCTAAAACAGTTCCTCCGTTATATTCTATTCGTAATATTTGCTATCATTTATTTGACGGCTCCTTGATATCTCCAAAGCATTTATTATAAAATAAATGAATATTAAAAGTTATTCGAGTTTCTTTTGCAATTGACTTCAATGAAGAAAAAATGAAAAATACACATACAAACGTATGTACGTATGTATGTATGTATGTGCATATTTGTGCACTCGAAGGCACTTAAGTAACTGAGCTAAGCTTAAGTGATTCAGTGAAAGTGGAAGAAAGCTTCATTTGAATGCGTCAATGACATTATCTCCATAGTATTTAACTACATACAGTGACTGAAACAAGTCCTCACGTTTTTGTTTTTTATCTAAACAAAAAAAAAATGGGTATACAGTTGTATAGGCCATAAAATTTTAATACAAAAAATAGAGTGTCTTTGAAACAGCCAAAAATTCGCATTATTTTTTTTACTTATATTGTTGTTTTTCATATAACAAATGCAATTTATAAAAAGTGGTTTTGATTTTTTGTAATTCCCCTTGCGAACAGTCGCGTGCATTTTCTTTTATAGGAAATTCATGTTTTATGTTTCATGGAAAAAAGTTCAAACTTTGGTTAAAAGATAAACAATACTTTTATAGCACCAAAGTTATACTTCAAAAACATTGCGATCATTTAGAAATACCAACATGTGAACACTTGTTTGAGTCACTTTACATCATTGCGTTTTGACAGGGTGTTGTGCCGACACGGTTCACCCAAGGGAAGGTAGCTGGCGAAAAACAAGATAAATTATTCAAAATGGAAGAGCATTCAAATAAGGTTGTATAATCAGCAGAATATGTTACAGACATCATTAAAATGACAAGCTACCATATACACTGGTCTACATACATATGTATCTACATAAGCATGCGCATTTGAATATGATTCTGTAATTTTACAAAAATGTCATCAATCTCATAGATTAAACATATGAAGTCATTAGCTTTATCATAGTCCCGTAAATTAATTAATTTACATTCAGGTTTACAAACGACAACAGCTGTCTTAACACAACAAAATGATAAGCCACAGAATGGCGACATCCTTTACTCAGCTTCGACCTTATTGCCCTGCCGTATTGACGACCTAAATCTTCCTACGCATTCGTTGAGCTCTTCCTCATTTTCCGTGCATATTTATGTATGTAAGGAAACCTTTAATGTATCGGCCCGTTCAGTATGTCAAAGTACCGACGAATGGTGGATGAAAGCAACAACAGTTTAAAAATTTAATATGAATAAATAACGCAGAACTGCCGATGCCACGATAAGACTTTCCCAAAATCCAATCAAGATAAACATCATTTAATCAGTAGCGTACCGTTTACCTTTTCGGTTTGGTGACAGACAAACAGCAACTGAATTTTGTGGCAAGCAAATAAACTGTATTAAACCACTGAGTAAAAATATATATATTTTATTCATTTGGGTTCTGTGTTTGCGCTTCGGTACTGGTGTTGGACATGGTAGTGAGATATGGTGGTGTATCTTTCGGAGCGTTGTGTATGACAGCATATCACTACCTTGACACGTGCGTAATCGCAGCAAATTAAAAAAAAAAATAAAAAATAAAAACATAACCGAAATCAGACAGCAGCATACTCGTACTTAAATAGTGAACAATTGATATGTGTACAATTGTACTTGTATTCACACAGACGCAGAGGCGATATGCGTACATAAATATGTATGTCGCAAATGCAGATATGTGTTTACATATTTATACTAAANCGTACTTAAATAGTGAACAATTGATATGTGTACAATTGTATTTGTATTCACACAAACGCAGAGGCGATATGCGTACGTAAATATGTATGTCGCAAATGCAGATATGTGTTTACATATTTATACTAAAGCAGGTATGCGTAGGTATGTACGTAGAAGTAAAAAATATAACGAAGGATAGCAGTAAAGCAGAAATGTAAAATAAATTGTTGATATGCAAATCGGCACATCTGATACAGACACATCACAAAACTTTGGCGAAATGAACATTTTTGCATTTCACAGGCACAGAAGTACCTTCGCATTCTCGTAGCATAAAAAGGGAGATTTTTATACATATCTACATACACATGTATGTATGTACATGTAACACACCTGGAAAATGACGCTAGTTTTCTTTTTAGGTGTGTGTGCGTTGTTCCACTCTGATAAGAATGCTGGCACTCACAGAATACTCGCAGCAGTGCTAATAAAAATAATAGTCGTACCAACGACGCCAAGCTAAAACAATGTTCAAGTGACAGTAGTATCAAGAATCAGCTTTAAGAGCTCCACTTGAAAGAAATTTAAAGTATATTTCTTTAGCTACCTATGCAAATCGTACTTGCATGCCTGGAAAAAAATGAATATATCTATTGTATACTTTTATATGTCACCCATTTCATTCTTTGTATACCCATGTCTGCTTTTCCTTTTAAAAAGATCCATCGCTTACTGAATAAACCGATTTCCTGGGTACGTCTTCGCGATGGCCATATACTTTCTGTGGACCAAGCAACTTTCATTGCCGACCAGCGCTTTCAGTCTATATTTCAAGGCGAGGACGATTACACCTGGTCACTGCAAATCAAATATGTGCAGGACACCGACGAAGGCTGGTACGAGTGCCAAGTGTCCACTGAGCCAAAAATTAGCGCAAAAGTTTATTTGGGAGTAGTTGGTAAGTGCTTAGGAAGCTTTGTAGGTAGGTATGTAAATATTTGTATTCTCTGATTTCTCCACAGTACCCCACACCGAGCTGATTGGCGATCAGAGCCGCTTCGTTAAAGCAGGCAGCAAGGTTGCACTACATTGTATAGTGCGCGACACACTTGATCCGCCCACCTATATCATTTGGTTCCGCGATAAGACACAAATCACGAACGATAATAAATTGGGCTGGTACACAGAAATCGACCGCACGATTTTCGGCCATGCGGATAGCAATCGCAATACTGTAGGTCAAATTAATATATATGGGTTAGCTTTATTTATATTGGTTGTCTTTAAATTAACTCCCGTAACAGATTGGCTCGTTGATAATACCGTTCATAAGGAAAAAAGATTCGGGCAACTACACCTGCCAACCGTCAAACAGTGCGCCCGTCTCTGTGGATTTGCATGTACTAAGCGGTAAGTACTTAAAAGATGGAACAAATTCTATACATACATACATACATACATACACATACTATATTGCAATTATTGTTGGCGAGAGATCGTTTTATCGGGCTTTCACTTTCTTATCTTTGTTTTTGTTTTTTTTGTTTTAGGAGAATATTCTGCATCGGCAATAATGTCGTCGGCGAGCTCCTACCGGGTAAGCGGTAAATTTCCTGGCCGGCTTCTGTTTCTGCTAGCGCTGCTGGCCATATCAAAGGCGTGACTGGTTGTCATTTTGACGTAAGTCAACTAGCTGGTATTGACTTCGCTGTGAGCAGGCTAAGTGAAACAAAATGACTTGAGAAAGCAACTTGTAAATAATTAAGTTTTGCTAATGCTACTTACTGGCTAATGAGCGACGACCACCAACAAAATCGAGCGATTTAAAGTCAGTGCTGACGAGTAGAATATGAAACGAATATTTAGCGTAATTATTTCATACCAAAAACTTAAGTGACTTTTTTATTAACTGTTGAAATCATCTTACATACATACATACATATATACATTTAAGATAAAGATGACGAAAATAAGAAAACAATGTTGTGAAACATCAATAAGTAGGATATCAATATAATTAATGTAATTTAAGGCAATTGAATATTCATCATACATAGTGACTAAGCTTAATTGGGACAACCGAAGGTTGAATCAATCAAAACATTTAACGTAATTGCATAAAAAAAAATCGTAAACAAATTTCGGCACAAAACCATCCAGATTAGAAGAATATTTGCCGAAGGTAACTAAATTTAAATAAATTTTATGTAAATATTAAATAAATTTAACGTATAAAACTCTAAAATATTAAGTAATAAAAAATTTAACGCATTAATGTATTCAGGTGAAATCAATGCAAAATAATCAAAAACAAACACTCAATAGCAAGGCTAAAACAAAATACAATGCAATAAATAAAAACAGTGTGAATACTCCTTTAATTTTTAAGTGTTATACTCGTAGCTATTTTCGTCCATCGGCAAATTTGGATAATGGGTAAGTACCAATAAAGCATCTTTAATGGTAATCATTTTACCTTATTAACCGAGAAGTAGTTAGCCCATGATTTTCCCAGCCAGATAGTTGCGGGCTAGCGCCGGCATTTTGGGTTAATACTGCGCTCTGGACGCCCCAGTGAGGCATGTTTCCAGATCTAAATTCAATGGTCAACAATGGTTAAACCCTGACTAAACGAAAAAACAAATATCGACCGGAAAACTCTGGTTCTCTTCAGGAAACTTCCAAAAACAATATCCAATTGTTTATTTAACCATTTCTTTAAACTAAAAATTTTGTATTTATCGCCCCGTTGCATTTTCTGTTACTATGAAAAAATGGTTAGAAAACTAATTGGGTTTTATTATTGGAGATCTCCCGAGGAGAACAGAGTTCAAGAATTCCTTACCATTTTCCCCATATAAAATACATGGAAAACTTTGAGCGCTTTGAGCGACCTCTAAATATTTTTCGATTTAAAAATAAAAAATAGGGTTATATTTTTTTCGGTATAGAAACAATTCCGACTTCACTTTTTTACATGCATTTTTGGACAACCCTACTGTATATACTTCCAAACTTATTTATACTTTCTCAAAATATTATAGAACATATCTAGTATCTATAAACAAACCGAAATAATGTGTATGTAATTGACCGCTTTATTCGAACTCTCCCAATGTTCTAAATAACCCCAAAACAAAGAATTATGAACAAAGAAATGCAAAATAATTGGCTGTAACAATAGCAAAGTCTCGGACATGCAGGGAAGATAATAAAACTTGGAAATAAAGCATTCAAGAACATATCGCTAGCTTAGAAAGAAAAGTTGCTAAGTCCCATTTTAAANACAAAATAATTGGCTGTAACAATAGCAAAGTCTCGAACTTGCAGGGAAGATAATAAAACTTGGAAATAAAGCATTCAAGAACATATGCTCCTTTACCTCCTCCTCTTTATTTGTAACAACAATACAAACATGTACACGCATACATATTTTCNGGCTTTAACTATTTCGCAAGACTTTGAGTCAAACATTTTGCGCGTTTAAAGCAAAGCAAAGCTCCATAAAAACCAGAAGGATTCGATATTTATTAAAGGATGTCGTATTATTTTGGCCTTATCGGATTTGTGGTGCTTCTTTTGGACTTAGCAAATTTTCCTTTTATTGCTTATGAAGAGGAAAAAATAAAATAAGTACCTTTATAATTTTCGAAACGATGCATACTCAATTTCTCTAGCCTCTTATATCAAAATATGAGTTTTCATAAAAAGTGGACTTAGCAACTTTTCATTCTAAGCTAGCGATATGCTCCTTTACCTCCACCTCTTTATTTGTAACAACAATACAAACATGTACACGCATACATATTTTCATAAGTTTTAATAGTGTAGCTACATTGTAGCCATCTCCTTATGTACCAAGAAGTAGAATTAAGAATGAATAATACTACACCACATATTACATAAATAGTGAGAGTGACGTTAAACATGCATATGTATGTATATATGTACGTGTATATGTACGAGGCGAACGCGCAATCATTTCTTTAATTTGCTATTTTTAATCTTCATTATTTTTTAAATTTTCCATATAACACCCATTAATTTCAATATATTTCCTTAACCTGAACATCCACAATTCAAAACAGTCTTCAACATCGCATTTTTTATCCTCTAAGGTTTGACATTAACCACATTAATAATCTCCGCATTGCTACTGAAGGCCTTCCCCTCATAGTATTCTTAATTTTTGGAAATAGGCAGCATTGAAACGGCGTCATATCCCGGGAAAACGGTGACGGGCGATTTTTTTTCGATGCCTCTTAAAAACAGTATTAAGATATGGTGTGAACAGGCTTAAGCTGGGCGTCAAAAGATGTTAAGAATTGCATGCCGAGCTAATTGCTAAGTCGGTGGCGGCCTTTCGTCAAAAATTGTAGGTTATCTCATCTGCATTCTGACTTACTATTCTTTGAAATATTGAATGGCGCATCGGAGGATTCTTACAAAACGTGTAGAATTTTTTTATTCTTCAAAAACACTTAAAAACTCCGTAATTTATTGAACTTTTGGTAGTCCCCTCGTAGATGCGTTGAAGTTATAAGCGCTTCGCCGCTCCGTTTTGCTATCACATAAATGAGCAAAGGTACATATTAACTGTAAATTAGAATGAAACGCTTTGCTGAACAAGCTTCTTTGTATGAAAGTTAAGATATAATACCTTAAGCGCTTTGAGTGAGACAAGCGCCGATATATTACTCATACGCATAGACGTTCACAAAATTTTGTATCCAAACGCTTATTAGCAAATTATGTAGATTTATTTTACAGCTTCTCACTAAAATCTTATACTGGTTAAAACATTCAAAAGAGTTTTAATGAAACTGGCATGGATTTATAATTCCTAGTAATCTTTATTTGACAATTTCAAATAATGTACTAACATAAGTGATTTCGATGCTTAAATTGAACCCGAAATGAAACGCTTTTATCAAATCTTGCGTTTTACCTTTTTAAATAAGTAAAAATTTAAGAGTTTGATAATTCTAAGAGCTAAGATGAATACCACACTCATTTGACACCGAACGCAAATTTAACGTTGCGATGTGTCTGTTTTAGTTCAAGTCCACGGGTACATAACCTAAAATCTAATATTTCCACAAACAGATTTGAAACTAAATTCATGATTAACTATTTTCAAAGATAACTATAAATAACTGCATATGTATGTAAACATCACAAAAATTCTTTTTCACATAGAATACGTCTTACGTGTACAAATGCTCAAAAATCGCTTGAATGATTTTGTTTTTGTTTTTTTAGTCAAAAACTCGAGAGCTTTCCTTTCGTTTGGTGTATGGGAAGTATTGGTTGATATCTTCTAAGTATTTTTATTTGCTTCAAATATATGGGCATAAATGATTTTCCATACATCGGTTTGCAACCACGTGCATGTGTTGGAAGTGAGGGAAAGAGACAAAAAGTATGTATGTGTGCGTCAGTACATATTTCGGCTTTTGATAAACATACATATGTAACCTAATCGCAGCGTATGTAGATTATATTTATGTATGTTGATTGCAGTTAATGGGGATCCGTTTCTATTTTTTAGTAATCTATGTATGTCTATACATATTATATATGTGCATACATATATGTATGAACAAATGTATGCATAATACGCGAAAACTTTTTGAAGTAAAACAACACAGAAAACTACCAATCCCCGATCAAAAGTAAAGGTGAGTACGTGCATAGATGAAGAAAAGGATAGAGGCAAAGGTAAAAATAAAAACAAAAACAAAGTTTCGTGGAGTTAAAGGCAAATATGAAGACTAAGGTAAATTTAAACACTTACTTATATATGGCCAAAGGTGAAGGGGAATACGTACATATGTATATATAAATAAATATAAAGCAAAATATGAGGATGAGGATACCGATAATAGTATAGATGAAGATAGAGGAAGAATGATTAAAATAAAGGTAGTTTTAGGGAAAGGAATATAGATAGAGGCTCAGAGATTCAATCTGGGAACTATTTCGGGATTTTAGAGATTTTCGGGATTCTCGGGATTTATCGATATAATAATCGATATTTTGTTGGTTGTTTGATCGACGTTTTTATCGATTTTGTTATCGAAATTTTTATCGAATGATCGAGTTTTTTATCGGCTTTGTTATCGATTTTATTATCGCTTATTTCTCGATTTTGTTATCGATATTTTCATCGATTTTACTATAGATTATTTCTACATTTTGTTATCGATATTTTTGTTAGTTTTATTATCGATATATCTATAGATTTTTTGTCGATATTTTTATCGATTTTGTCATCAATATTTTTATCGGTTTTGTTACCGATATTTTTATCGACTTTGCTATAGATATTGTTATCGCTTTTTTTATCGATATTTTTATCGATTTTATTATCGACTTTGTAATCGATTTTTCGATAAATTTGGTTATCGATTTTGTAATCGATTTAGTTATTGATTTTGTCATCGATATTATATCGATTTTATTATCGATATTTTATCGATTTTGTGATTGGTATTATTATCGATTTTGATATCCATATTTTCATCGATTTTGATATCGATATTTTCATCTATTTTTTTATCGATGTTTTTATCATTTTGCTATCGATGTTATTATCTCTTTTGTTATCGATGTTTTTTTCTTAGTGTGTGCTTTAGTTTTTAACTTGGATATGCTCTTAACCACACCACGTATTCAACGTTTAAACACGAAGGTGCTGAACTGTTCCTTTTTAATAAACATTGAAAAAGCCTTCCATTTTGTTCTAAATAGTTCTTTTTTCATAATTGGCATTAAATTTGGAATGGAAGTGTATTTCAAATGAAACAAACGTAAAATTAAAAAATTGTATCTAAAAAAATGTTAATTAGGGTCGTTTGCATTAATGGCGGCGATGTGTTTGTGTGTCACAATTACATGCAGAAATCATTCAAAGTAAATATACATATGTGTATATTAGGGTGTGCCTATAAACCAAATTGATTTATTTTAGCGGTTTGCTAGCTGTAGGCAGTATCAACTTTAGATAGGAAATACAAATTCGCATTATGACTAAGTTTTCTTATTTAGAAACGATTAAATTTCGTTTTATGTAGTGAAAGGAAAGTTTTAAAACTGTAGCAATATATGTGAAAACTACATCTTAAAATAATTACTATTTAATTTATATATATGTTTCAGACAAAACATTTGGCTTTTGGACGTAATCTACAAATATAGGCGGCGAACTGAAAAAGTAAATTAACTTGGTAATTAGCAGACACCCTATTGTACATTCATGCTGCCTCGTGAATGCCAGTGTCTTCCCTTTAATTAATTTTATTACTTTGACTGAGTGGTCAGTTTACGCCAGTACACCAATTATTCAAGCCTATTGTGG